TTGTGAAATGTTTTTCATGTAAGGAAGCACGACAAGTGACATTTGAAGAAGAAAGGGACGTGCTTGGTATGGGATTAAGCATGCAAAACGTTCCCAAATGACTCTTTTTTTGTTTGGGCTGGACATGGACGGGTGTTCCACATGTGATTCTTTTTGGTCAAGATAGACATGGCGATGAAAATATAATGTTATTTAAGAAAAATATATCTGAAGTAGGCCTGCTGTTTCAATTGCGTTGTGCGTAGCATTCTTTTTGCTTCAGGAGGCTATAGCTCAAAATCCGCAAAAGAATATTGTAATATCGAACAAACCCAAAGTCAAAGCTACGGTCTTTCGCAACGATCTTAGAGACTCGCGCATAATAGTTGGTATGAACGATGACAATGAAAAGTGAGTAAAAATTTTGGTGATGGATAAGTGACATGTGAAATCCCATCAAGTTATCACTCATCGTGCAAAAGTTCAATGTGTGTTCTCAGGTATTTCAATGCCTATATGTACGACCTTTTAAATGACTCTATGACATTACTTATAAAGAACGATGGACTTGGCGGATTCCTCTTTGACAATGGCATGAACATTCGTCTTGCTATACAAGAGCAGCCGGACGGTTCTACTATGTATCTCAGGTGAGTTTTTACGTTGTGTCATGGGAGCAAGGTTGATGTCGGAGAGAGCTGATGAGTCAAAGACGTGAATTACAGAGAGTCGTCAGAGGAAAGGGATGTGGTGATCGCATTTTGGCCTTAACCAAATAAATTATCTAAGCATTTATCAAGTTTAATCACAGAAATTCGCAACTTTTACCATCATTTTTTTTTGCCAGAAGAAGCCAACAGAATTCTATGTGATTTGCATCACAGCGGAGTCGGAGGGAAGAGATGTCGAGTAGAATTGATCGAAAGATCGCGGATGTTACACTTTGAGCTAGCTTTTTGAGACAATTTTCAGTGAAGTGGCAGACGTCACGTCTTTGTTTTCAGTGTTTTTAGAATATAAATACGCTGGTTTTTGGAAAGCTCATAATTTTCAGTGACGCATGACTAATTTCGTGCGCGACCATCCAATCTGTTCACTCTCCTTCTCTGTCATTTGTACCCTTGTACGCCATATTTCTGGATCTAAGCTAAGTGTTCTTATCGTTAAAGGCGGACACGAACAGCAGAGAATCAGCTACCGTACACATCAAATGAGTCAGAGTGGGAACCATATCTCGTTGTCAAATCAGAAGATAAGGCAGTTACGCGGTAGTAGGACCTAAAGAATATTTTTCGAAAAGTGATTTATGCTTTCGTTCAGGCCTATAACATTCGATAAGAGCAATCAGTATATGTATTGGCTTTGGGGCGACGAAAATACTGACCTTGGCAAGTTATTTATCAAAAACAGCGGTTGCTAAAAACGATAGTTATGCAAGAAGATTTAGGAACTTTTGTCAAGTTCAAATTTGACGATCCCGAGCACCGAGAGGTTTTGTACGTTGCAACTAGAGCGCAGATAAGTGAAATCGTAATTCATCCTACGGACCAAACAGTGCTTGCACTTACAGAGGTAAGTGAATGGTTTCAAAGTGAAAAGTGAATCCGATTTCATCAAGCAGATCATGGCTCACAAGGAAAGGAAGGTTGGTCGAAGTGGCTTTTTGAAGTGAGATGTTCATCATCTTGTAGAGCTTGAAACGCTGAGATCAAATCTACCTTCGCATCTGCGGCGGGCTTCTGGGTGAGGAGTTATGGAGTTTTTGTGAGTGAAAAGTCAAATGGAAAATTAGTGTTAAATCAGGCGTAACATTTTTCTAGGACTTGACTGATAGTCGGGTCACCCGGTGCAATAAATATTCTTGATTCAAATATACCAACTCGC